AAACGCCCAGCTCCCAGCAAACGGAGCATTTAACCCGCTCGGGGAACCCCCTCACCCACCCCTCACGTTCAGGCAATCCCCACCCCCACCCAAGGAGGTGGAGCCCCTCCCGGGGATTCCACCCCGAGTCCCCCACAGGAGTCATCTCCACCAGCCAAGCGGCTTCTCCGCCTCCTCGCTGTGGTCGCCGGGAGCCCCTACAGCTCCTCCGGCCCCCACGGCCCGTCCGGGATCCTCAGCAGACCCGCCAGCCCGGTTCTCCTCCCAGCCCCCAGGGCAAGGAGACCCTCGCCTCAGGTTGGATCCTCGTAGGAAATAAGCTCCTGTTGGCTTCCATCCCCCACGAGGCTCCAGCCGGCTCTGGAGCCTCTGTTACCCGAGAGAAGCCACGGATGAAAGCGGGGCTCCCTCCCCCTCAGGCCCCTGACCATAGACCCCACAAACCTGAGGCAGAGGCGTCCAGTCGGGCTCGGGGCTCGTCTCTCCCCGAGGTACAGGCGGTTCACATGGCCACGCTCCGGGCGCCAGAAGGGGTGGAGACGCCCGCTAAGGGAGGGGGGTCTGGGGTCCGGGAGGGGGAGGGGGACGCGGCTCAACCGCGGGGCCCGAGCGGAGCCAACATGGCCGGCGGGGGAGGAGTGAGTCGCAGCCGGAGGGGGCGGAGAAGCCTAGCGAAGAGTCTTCCCCACGCAGCCTCAGCCCCAGGGTCCTAACGCCCTCCATCTTCGCTTCCCGACTCGGACCTGGGTCCTAGCGCCGCTGTGTCTCCTGCAACCCTGGCCACCTTGCCCACCTGGCAGCTCCCTCTGCACCCGCATCTCATTGCGGTGGTAGTCCTGCTTCACACGGGGCAAACTGAAAGGGGTGCCACAGTCCCAAGGTTAACCTGACAGACTGGACCAAATGTCTAGGCCCAAAGGCATGTGCCACTTCTCTAACGGGCTGGTAGGGGGTGAGAGTCAGGGGAATTTCGGGGGCAGTTATTTCCCAGGTAGGGTAATGGAAACGTGGAAATAGAAAGGTTAGTCAGAGCGCGATTCAGTAAAGGGATGAAGACAGGCAAGTCTGTCACCCACTCACCTCTGTCCCTTCAGTGCAGCCTGGTCCTGCCTGGATCACCACTTTCCTGGCAACATCTGCAGGGCCCTGGTCACCGGAAAGGAAAGATTCCTGTGCATGGGGGAAAGAAGGTTCGGCTCTGGAACCAGACAGCAAAGACCTGAGTGTAGCCTAAATGTAGTCAGAAGTAAAGGAAAAGCTGAAAACTAATCAGCAAAAAGATGCCACAAATGTCTACCCCTTCTATAGTTCTGGTAATTTTTTCTGACAGGGCTACATAATTGTGTGAAAACTCAGAACAGAAAAGTAAAATCTAGCAGAAGACTAGAGTTTGGCTGTCACATAAAATGTCTATTGCAGGGCCCCAGGATGGAGAACAGTGTCATATGATGTTAGAACTCAGAGAATTTCTAGTTCAACCTTCTCTCCGTCATCAGATGAAGAAATTAAGGCCCAAAGCTCACTGACTTCTTCAAGGTCAAACAGTGGATAAAATATGTTTCCTTTCCTTGCAACTCAACACTTTACAGGCTTCAAGATAACTCCCATTCAATTCAATGCAATGCAGTTCTAGAAACAATTGCCTAAACTGTGCAAAGCTCAGGCTGCTGAATATTCTGGAAAAGCAACAGAGTAGGAATGATGAAATTCTGGCAAGTTGGAAGGGGTGTCAACAAATACATTTTTCCTCTGGGGGTCCAAGGAGGAAAGAGATCTGAAAAATGGGCAGAGTTGAGGGGTGAGATCCATCAGTCCAGATTGGATTTCCTTACTCCATAGAGGGGTGGGCTTTTCCTGAGTTTTGGAGACAAACTCCACCCCCCACTACAACGGGCTCAGAGAAGATAAGAAGGAAACCAGCTTTAGCAAAGCCTCACAGTGTGTGTGGGCCAGAGACAGAGAAGGCTAAGGGGGTTTCTCTTCCTCTATCCAGATAAGTAGATTACCAGTGGAGGGAATAGGCAGGTAGAAACCAAAACCCTTCTCTCCTCCCTGTCAAAACAATAGATTTACAGGTCACCTTGGAAAAAACAAAAAATACTCCTCCAACAGCCTGCTGACCCTGAGTAAGTGGAGGTCACACTCAGGGGAGAGTTTCTTTCCTTCTGAAGAAAGGAGGGCTCCGGCAACTCTGATACCAAGTGAAAAACAAAGACAGGTGAAGAGAGCTCAGGTCATGGAACTGACATCTCAAGGGCAGCAGGAAGCGGGTGGGGGTAAGGAAACTGGTATCCCTTTTTCTTCCCTTCCCTTTTCCAGGGCAGATGAGAATCTTCCTACCTCCCGCCCCCAATCTTAAGGGGGCGGCCAGTCGGGAACTGGGCAGGCAGGGGAGGAGCCTAGGCCCGTCTGACGGGTGTAGCCACGCCCCTCCCCACACCCACACCCACCCACCGCAGGCTGCACTCCGCTCCGGAAGAGCCGGTTACTCCTGTGCCCCACTGACTGCCCCCACCCCTTCCGAGCCCCAGGCCTAGTCTCCAGGGCAACCTTTAGGGCTATTCCAGCCAAGAGTGGTTAGGAAGAGGGGGGTGTTGGATAGGAGGGGACCACTTGGGATTAGAAAAGAAAATGAGGTAGGATCCATTCTTCCCATCTGGTGCAGAAAGGTTACAATCATCTTCATTCTTGAATGAGACCCTGCCTCATCTAATCAGGATCTTCCCTGCTCTGAGGAACTATGAGGTTGGGGTGACAGTATGCCCGACAGCTGAATGTTTACTTCCTGCCAGAAGTCAACACATGCTGCAGCTGTGCTCTCCCGATCCAGACGACAGAGGGCAGACTGACCCCAAATGTCCCCAAACATTCCTCAATCCCATCAGATGTGGCTGATCACCCAACTACCTCTCTTCTGCACAACCATTTCCCTACAGGAAGCTACCAGAAAGGGGAAGGGGCAAATGATCATTTTATCAGCAACTTGTAAGAGTGTCCAGGGAATAGACTGACCCTCCCTAAAGCCAGGCCAATGGACTAGTAGTGAAGAGAAATGGGAAGGGACAAATTAGCACCTGCTCCCCCTTTCTTCCCCCTCCCCACCATGCGTTCCTAAGGCACCTCCCTGACTCTGGGGTCAGCCGCCACAGTGCCTGGCTCCACTCTGGAGCCAGAGGGCTGGGGCTGGGATGGGGAAGAGAGAGAAGGAGATTCGTTTGCATCCCTCTAAGTCCTTCCCTCTCCCCCACCAGATTCTCCTGGCATCCAACCCCAAACTGCTAACCACTCTTTCCTCCCCCTAGTGCCCCCCTCCAAACATGACTCAGAAGAGTCTGAAACAGATCCTGACACCCAGTCCGTCCCCTAATTCTGGAGGTGAGGAGTGGGAAATGAAAGAGCAGAGCTAGGGGCGCAGCTGGACTGGGGGCAGAGGGGGAATTCCCTAATAGAGATGGGATAATTATTAAAGACCTCCCTTCCCGTCACTGGCTGAATGTATCATACTGTTAACAGCGTCTATCTAGCAGGGAGATGGCTCTCAGCTGGGTAACCATTCCAACTGGACCCAACACCAGGTTAAAGCAAAAGTCTGTACCCCCTCTACATTCTGAGGAGGCTAGAGTCTCCCATAATACATCACAAAGACCATACCATTCCCCTGCTCCCCTCCCCACCTTTTTTTTTTTTTTTTTTTTTTTGACACAGTCTTGCCCTGTCGTCCAGGCTAGAGTACAGTGTCATGATCTCAGCTCGCTGCAACCTTTGCCTGCCAGGTTCAAGCGATTCTAGTGCCTCAACCTCCTGAGTAGCCACTATGCCCGGCTAGTTTTCGTATATTTTGTAGAGATGGGGTTTTGCCACGTTGCCTAGGCTGGATTTGAACTCCTGACCTCAAGTGATCCACCCGCCTTGGCCTCCCAAAGTACTGGCATTACAGGCGTGAAATACTCCACCGGTCCCCCTTCTCCCCTTTAAGTCGACAGGTGGCCCTTCAAATTCACTCAGTCTTGTCTCCAAACTTCTTAGTGGAATTCTCTATAGTGCTACTGGAAGTTAGAGAAAGCCCTTAATTCCTAGGGGGTGGAAGGGCTTCCTTTGGATCTAAACAGAGAAAACTGGACTTCTCTTGCCTTCCCCACCGCCCCAGTTCCCCACCCACTCTCTCCCAACTGCTCCAGTAGCACAAGATTCCGGCAGCGCCCCGGCCCCCAGCTCCCAGATACTGGGGGAGGGGTGCTCCTAGGCTGGACCGACCAACCCTAGGCCCAAGAGGAGAGCCCTTCCCACCTGGGCTCAGTAGGCGGTGCTGAGGTTGGACCCCGAGCTCCTGGAGCTGTAGGGTAGGGTAAGGACTACAGAAAAGCTTTAGATGGGACTTAGCTGAACTTAAAAGGGCTGAGCGGGGCAAGGCCAGATAGTAAGTGTAGTTGCTGTTATTCCCCCGCCCCCCTTACTACAGGGAAGGAGAGGAGTTGGGGTGGGTATCCCCCCTCCCATTGGGGTTAGGAAGGCGTGGGAAAGCGCTAGTTCCAGAGGGGAGGAGGCGAAACCCAGACCGCGGGAGATTTTTCTGGCTAGGAAGACGCGGGGGAGGGGGAGATCCTGGGCCCAGAATAGGAAGGGTACTTGGGAGAGGATGGCGGAGAGGCGTGAGAAGCCTCCGGATTCCGGTTGCAGAGGACAGAGGGAAAAATGGGAGAGTAGATAGTGAAGGGAAGAGAGGAAGGCCAGCTCCCGCAGAGGGAGTCAGATTCTGAATCCTGAGGCAGCAGGGATCCCGGGGCAGGATACCGCAGAAACGGGCCGCCCGGGGACTCCGGGGCTGGAGGTGGGTGCCGGACCTCACCTAGCGCAGGGCCGGGCTGCGGGCGGCGGCGGCGGCGGCGGCAGCGGCGCAGGTGGCCGAGCCGGGCGGCGGCGGCGGCGCCTCCTCCCCCAGCCCTGGGCCGGCGGCGGCGGCGGAGGGGAGGAGATGGCGCTTAAAGGGGCAGGAGCTACCGGGGTGAGGACAACTGCTCGGGAGAGCAGACGCGAAGGATTCTCTGGGGAAGAGGGAAGCGGGTGGCGTCTCCTAGGGGCCAGAACCAGGAAGGATTCCAGATGGGAGGCTGAGAACAGATCCCAGAAAGAGACAGAAACTTCTGCGGTAAAGTGGGGGATGGTGGTAGGTCCGAACGGAAGGACTCGGGAGAGCTCTGCCCGCGCTCCCAGGGCACCAGCAAAGACCGCTTCACAAAGGAGGCCGGGGAAGGCTGAGAGAGCTACATGGGCTCCTAGGAGGCCTAGGGGTGAAGGAGAGGAACTCAAGGCTGAGCCTGCTGGGGGTCATGCGCAGGGACCTACTAGGTGAACAGGTTCCCGGTGTTTCAGCTCCTCAGGGCTCCATCCCTACAGCTGTGGGGTCTTTGGAATCAGGAAGCCACGAGGGCAAAAAGCTATCCTCTCAACCTCAATCTTGCCTCCCACTCAGTGCCTTCAGTGACTGTAATGTGGTGGCCATCAATACAGCCCTAGTGAGGCTCAAGTGGGACCATGAGAATCGACTTTGGTTCAGTTTTCCCCCAACCACCAACCACCCTTGCTTCAGTCTCTGGGGCAACAGGAAGCAGCTGCTCAGTGCAGCCCCCACCTGAAGGTGGGTCAGGGTGGGGGAGGAGAGGAGACAGAGACTTAAAAGGCCTTAGAGAAATTAAGAAGGGGACGCACTTTAAACACCTTCTAGCACGGCCAAAAGCGGGCTTTACTTTTGTGGGGGCTAGCAGTGAGTACTGTCAAAATTTCCTTGAATTTCAACAGCTTAAATGGGGAGGAGAAGGGACAGTCCTCCACGGGGCGACGGGGAGGGGGTTGGGAAAGCCCTGGCCTAAGGTGCGTCTCAGGCTCTTCCTTAGAGCTGGGGCTTGCCCATACTCGGGATCCCGTGATCGGCGGCTGAGCCCTGAGCCCCCCTCCCGTCCCCGGGTCCTGTTTCCTCCCCTTCACCCCCAAAACGAGCAAAGGTTAGGCCCCACCCCTGCTGAGTCAGCCAGGGAGGGAGTAGGCATCCCTCAGGCCTTCCCCGGGGTTGGTCCCCATACTCACCCATGTCAGGCTGGCAGGACTCCAGGCTGGGATCACCCAGCTCCTCACTGTCCTTGTGCCCCCGCTTCACGTAAAGGCTGGTGTTGGATCCTCCCAAACTGTGAGCTGGGAACTAGCAAGAATCAAAAGCCAGTGTATGCTTCCTGCGAACCACACAGTCTGAACTGCTGTAGGGTGATGTCCCTGTGTGACAGACTGGGTGGGGAGGGAGGAGGGAAGGGCGGGGCTTTCTCTGGGTGGAGAGAGGGAGGAGGCGAGGACAGGGCAGACCAGGAGAAATATGGAGGAAGGTTAGAGCTGTGTTGACACTCCAGTGGCTTGGTAGAAGAGGGCGGCAAAGGGAGAAGGAAATAAATAGTTGCAGCTAGTGAGAGGGAGAAGGTTCTCGATAAACGCTGAAGGACGTGAACGTGTTGGGGGAAGGGGTGGAGGGATGCAAAAGACCTTTAAGATTTCAGTTCCCAGGTCTGTATTGGGTGACGTGAGAAAACAAAGAAAGGGCTGACCTGGGGCCTAGGGCATTTTGTACCAGCTTCTTACCCACTCCAAGTCAGGACCTAGAGGAAGTGTCCCCACCCCCATAACTCAGCATTTCCCCAAATCCAGGCTTTCCTGGGAGCAAACTACCAGCACAAGCAGCTCAGGGGCTCCACCTTCTGTCCAGATCATGACACAGGAGAGACTGCGGGAGAGGCTGCTGCCAAGGACGTCACAGGCAGATGGAAGAAAGCTTGGAGGCCCCTACTCCACCCCTGGCGCCGCGCCAAATGGCCCTCCCCAACCTTCAGCCCCCAGGGGCCTCTGAATTGGGAGCTCGGTTTATCTCCGCCCAGCTTCTACCTAACTTGATGGCCTCAGGGGGTGGAGCTTATCGATGCAGGCTCCTCCCCAGGACAAATTGCCCAGCTGGTTTGTAAACAGTCTTTCACTGAGAACCACATCCCAGCCTTCGTGGATTTGAAAATGGGATCAGTGTTCTTCCAGTCTCCAGTGCTACCGCGAGAGGGCAGTAGGATAGGTCTGGTCTCAGGAAAGAACACATGAGGAACCCAATCTGACCTTGTCTGCTTCTTTTAAATTGAAATGGTGAAATCTACCTATCCTTGCACCTCTCAAGGTGGGCTAAAATGAAGAGAAAATTACCTAATTCCATTAGTTTGGAACCCCTGACAACACTGAATATTGTTATTCCCTTGTAAGATCTTTTCTGGACTTTCATAAGGGATCTTCACAGAGGGCAGACTAGGCCTCATGGTATTATAAGCCTTTGCATAGCCTCAAGAAATCACAAGCAACTTTTTTTCTAGGCTTGCCCAAAACGTCAGGAAGTAGTTAAGTACACTTTCTGAAGACAGGAATTCCTAACCAAGATGTAGAGGACCCTTTTTGATTCAATTTTAACAAAGATAGTATTCTTTGTCACTCTTTCTTGAAAATTTAATTCATTAAACTCAGATTAACCCCTGGAAAAAGTTATTTCTAGAACAAATTTTTCCCAATATGCCCTTCAAAAAAGGCCTATTTTTAACCAAGCAGTAATGTGCTACATGGTATGGGGGGGGAAATCAATTTGCATTGAATAAAAGGCCCAAAACTGAGGCCCTAAGATCACACTATCCACAAGAAACTCCTCACAAGAGGTATGGTTGTCTATCAGCAAGAGAATGACTATTTTTGAGGACTGATTTCAAACATACATGGCCAACTTCACACTGAAACTGCTTTTTATGGCCACTCTATAAAAATCTGTTGAAAACAGTGCTGGTGATGTGAGACTCCATACACCTGTAGCCCCAGCTGCTCAGAAGACAGGTGGGAGATCTCTTGAGCCCTAGAGTTGGAGACATGTCTCTAAAACTAAAAATATATAACCCTTCACTGTTGATGATGTTGTCAGAACCAAGAGAAACAGACAAATTCTGGGGGGGTGTACATTTTATTGGAAACTTTAAATACTGTTCAGACAGAATGTATCTTCAATCAAGGCTCTTGTGTAGCCTACACAGAAAAGTGAAGCTTTCTGGATTAGGGGCAAGGAGAGGGACAGACACAAGAACCCCTCATGATGAATGCTCTTCAGCCAGCTTATCAGCTTTTGCCACAGCTTCTTCAATGGGTCCCACCATATAGAAGGCCTGTTCTGGGAGATGGTCATATTCACCTGTATGAAGGAAAAAAAAAAGTGGGGGGGAGTGGATATCAACTTTCTGCAGTGTGTAATATTCCTCAGCACTTGAGGGCATCAGTTGGAATGTGATGAATTCGTGTTGTCTTAGAAAGCTTGAATTTCTGTTGCAAATTTACAAGACATGATACAGTATGAATTAAAAATACATGGGCCGGGCATGGTGGCTCACAGCTGTAATCCCAGCTATTTCAGAGGCCAGGGTGGGCAGATCACCTGAGGTCAGGAGTTTGAGACTAGCCTAGCCGACATGGTAAAACTCCATCTCTACTAAAAATACAAATATTAGCCAGGCGCAGTGGCACCTGTAATCCCAGCTACTTGGAAGGCTGAGGCTGAAGAATTGCTTGAACCCAGGAGGTGGAGGTTGCAGTGAGCCGACATCACACCAATGCACTCTAACCTGGGTAACAGAGTGAGACTAAGTCTCAAAAAACATATATAAAATAGGCCAGGCGTGGTGGCTCACACCTATAATCCCAGCACTTTGGGAGGCTGAGGCGGGTGGATCACGAAGTCAAGAGATCAAGACCATCCTGGTCAACAAGGTGAAACCAGAAGGTGGTGAGTGGTTGCGGTGAGCCAAGATTGTGCCACTGCACTCCGGTCGGTAACAACAGCGAAACTCCGTCTCCAAAAAAAAAAAAAAATATATATATATATATATAATATATAAAATAATAAAAGGGAGCTAGAGAATCAAGTAACAAATCACACTCTTACAAAGTAAATATATTTTCTTTCTTTTTTTGGGGGGGACATAGTCTTGCTCTGTCGCCAGGCTGGAGTACAGTGGTGCAATCTCAGCTCACTACAACCTCCACCTCCTGGGTTCATATGATTCTGCTGCCTCAGCCTCCCAAGTAGCTGGGACCACAGGCACGTGCCACTATGCCCAGCTAATTTTTGTATTTTTAGTAGAGATGATGTTTCACCATGTTGGCCAGGATGGTCTCGATCTCTTGACCTTGTGATCCACCCACCTCGGCCTCCCAAAGTGCTCGGATTACAGGCGTGAGCCACCACGCCCGGCCAATATAGAGTATTTTCAAACAAAATTAATGAAAAAGTTTGTTTTATAAATTAAAAAACATAATTAGGTATAATGTATTTTTGGCTTGATACTTGTTGGAATGGGACCACAGCACAGTAAGCATTCAAGATTTTGGCTTTTCTGTCATCTTATGTTCAGCTTTGTACTCAAAATCTCACCTGCCAAAATCTGCTGGAATCCTTTGATGGTCTCCTTCAGGGGTACCAGCTTCCCCATATGACCTGTGAAGACCTCAGCAACCTGGAATGGCTGGGACAAGAAACGCTGTATTTTCCGTGCACGGGACACAGTCAACTTGTCTTCCTCAGAAAGTTCATCCATACCCAGGATGGCAATGATATCCTGGAGGGATTTGTAGTCCTAGGAGAAAAAAGAAGCCTGAGTTAAGTATTCTTATTCCTTTAATTTGGACAAAAACCCAAGAGTGGGAACAAGCTAACAAAGGGAAAGTTACATGCTAGAGGCAGAGAGGGTGGTGGTATTATGAGTGCCCTCGGCCAAGAAAGATCAGTGTCTTGTTCTCCATAGCCCTAGTTTGGTGCTGTCTGAAAAATACTGCATTCCTAAGCAGAAGTACCTGGAAACTCAAGAGACCTCATTAGCTCTCACTACCAACTGCTAGACTCAACTTTCCTTGCTCCAAAACAAATCACACAAATCACTAAGAAAGATCTTGTCCTAATATAGTCCCCACCATCCCTCTTTTTGACTTTCTGGACACTGATCCGATATAGTAATATACTCACTTGCAGGATCTTTTGCACCCCACGGGCAACATCATAATGCTCACTGCCAACAATGTTGGGATCCATGATGCGAGAAGTGGAGTCCAGAGGATCCACAGCTGGATAGATGCCCAGCTCAGCAATGGCACGTGACAGTACAGTGGTAGCATCCAAATGGGCAAATGTAGTAGCAGGGGCAGGGTCAGTCAAGTCATCAGCAGGCACATAGATGGCCTAAAGTGAGATCCCATTAAGTACATGAACCAAGATAACTTTTTTTTTTGAGACAGTCTCACTCTGTAGGCCAGGCTGGAGTGCAGTGGTGCAATCTCTGCTTCCTGGGTTCAAGCAATTATCTGCCTCAGCCTCCCCAGTAGCTGGGATTACAGGCGCCTGCTACCACGCCTGGCTAATTTTTTTTGTTTTTGTTTTTGAGACAGAGTTTGCTCTTGTTACCCAGGCTGGAGTACAATGGCGCGATCTCGGCTCACCGCAACCTCTGCCTCCTGGGTTCAGGCAATTCTCTTGCCTCAGCCTCCTTAGTAGCTGGGATTACAGGCACGCGCCACCATGCCCAGCTAATTTTTTATATTTTTAGTAGAGACGGGGTTTCACCATGTTGACCAGGATGGTCTCGATCTCTTGACCTCATGATCCACCCGCCTCGGCCTCTCAAAGTGCTGGGATTACAGGCGTGAGCCACTGTACCCGGCCCACTTTTTTGTATTTTTAGTAGAGACAGGGTTTCACCATCTTGGCCTGGCTGGTCTTGAACTCCTGACCTCGGAATGCATCCACCTCTGCCTCCCAAAGCGCTGGGATTAGAGGTGTGAGCCACCACACCCGGCCCTAATGCAGTAAATATTTAATGCTCAGTTTCCATACAGCTCTGATTCCCCTCAGACTGGAAACCATTGCTTTGTGATCTACATTCAAATGTATACCTTCATTTACGGTTTTTGAGACAACGTCTTACTCTGTCGCCCAGGCTGGAGTGCAGTGGCTCGATCTTGGCTCACTGCAACCTCTGCCTCCTGGGTTCGAGCAATTCCCCTGCCTCAGCCTCCCCGGTAGCTGCGATTATAGACATGACACTACACTTGGCTTATTTTTTGTATTTTCAGTAGAGATGGGATTTCACCATGTTGGCCTGGCTGCTTTCAAACTCCTGACCTCAAGTGTTCCACCTGCCTCAGCCTCCCAAAGTGCTAAGATTACTGGCGTTAGCCACCACAGCCAGTGTAACTTCAATTATTTTACTTTATTTATTTATTTTTTCTTGAGACGGAGTTTCGCTCGTGTTACCCAGGCTGGAGTGCAATGGTGCGATCTCAGCTCACCGCAACCACCGCCTCCTGGGTTCAGGCAATTCTCCTGCCTCAGCCTCCTGAGTAGCTGGGATTACAGGCACGCGCCACCATGCCCAGCTAATTTTTTTTGTATTTTTAGTAGAGACGGGTTTCACCATGTTGATCAGGATGGTCTCGATCTCTTGACCTCGTGATCCACCCACCTCGGCCTCCCAAAGTGCTGGGATTACAGGCTTGAGCCACCGTGCCAGGCCAACTTCGATTATTTTAAATGAGTATTTCTTAACCTTTTAAGGTCTTTAACATACAAACACAACTTTTATTTATTTTTTTTTTTGAGACGGAGTTTTGCTCATCGCCCAGGATGGAGTACAGTGGTGCAATCTCAGCTCACTGCAACCTCTGCCTCCCAGATTCAAGAGAGTCTCCTGCCTCGGCCTCCCAAGTAGCTGGGATTATAGGCACCTGTCACCATGCCCAGCTAATTTTTGTATTTTCGTAGAGACGGGGTTTCACCATGTTGGCCAGGCTGGTCTCAAACTCCTGACCTCAGGTGATCTGCCCACCTCAGCCTCCCAAAGTGCTGGGAGTACAGGCATGAGACACTGTGCCTGGCCGCACACACAGACTTTTAGATATTATTCCAGAGAGCTCATTAACCTCAGTTAACAGACCTTTTTGAGATGTACGTTAAGTTGTATATCTCTCTCTACATATTTTTTTTTTTAGATGAGTTTTGCTTTGTTGCCCAGGCTGATCTCTTGGGCTCAAGCAATCCTCCTGCCTCAGCCTCCTCAGTAGCTGAGATGCATCACTGCGCTCTACCTTTATACAAATCATATTTTCATCTATGTCATTTTTCGTACCTGTACAGAAGTGATAGATCCCTTCTTGGTGGTGGTAATTCTTTCCTGCATAGTACCCATGTCAGTGGCCAGGGTAGGCTGATAGCCCACAGCAGAAGGGATTCTACCCAATAAGGCAGACACCTAAAAGAGAAAAAGTGACTTAGTTGTCTACATCTTTAGCCTCATCTGCATAGCTCCAAAGAAAGGCCAAACAAACCAGGTCCTCTCAAGACTTCCCTCTTACCTCTGAACCAGCCTGGGTGAAGCGGAAGATGTTATCAATAAATAGCAATACATCCTGACCTTCCTGGTCTCTGAAGTATTCAGCCACAGTCAGTCCAGTCAGAGCTACCCGGGCACGAGCACCAGGTGGTTCATTCATTTGACCATATACCAGGGCTACCTGCAGTAATCATACATAATCATAGAGGAGTAGAGAAGCCACATACCCAAGGTTCCTAAATCAGAAAAACGACCACAGATCCTTTCTCAGAAGGTGTCAACATTTTGTGTGCAAGTTTCTTTTCTCTATTAGAGATGCAATTCAAAACAACAAAAAAGACAAATTCTTTTTTTTTTGTCTTTTGTCTCTTGAGATGAAGATCTTATTCTGTCACTCAGGCTGGAGTACAGTGACACAATCTCAGCTCACTGCAACCTCCACCTCCTGGGTTCACGCAATTCTCCTGCCTCAGCCTCCCAAATAGCTGGGATTACAAGCATATACCACCACGCCCAGCTAATTTTTTGTATTTTTAGTAGAGCCATGGTTTCACCATGTTGGGCAGGTTGGTCTCAACTCCTGACCTCAGGTGATCTGCCCACCTTGGCTTTCCAAAATGCTGGGACTACAAGCGTGAGCCACCGCACCTGGCCAAAAAGACAGCAATTACA